ATTAGCTACAACCTCTAGACAGAAATCTCCCCAGACTGAAACCTAGCTCTCAAGCCAGCCAGCCACAACTCCACAAATTCCTCAGGGAGGTGCCAGCCTCATCCTCTTGAACTTCCCACGCTCCTCCAGTGAACTAAGAACACGCTTATCTCTCTGAGCCTGGCCTTCATAATTCCATTCCATCACATTTACTGATATTTCTATTAAACTTCTATTGGACTACATTTCTGAAGACACTGTATAAGTTTACAAAAAGAAAACAAACAACTTTTGCCCTATCTTTCTGGCTTTCCTATTATATACCTACTTATATGTAGTAAGCATTTAAGACAACTGTACAAAAATTGAGAGCATGAAAGAAAGAAGCAAATAATTCAGCTGCTAGAAAGGGATTCATGGCCTAAAAGAATTTTAAGGATGTTTACTCTTGTGGCAAAAAAAGTGCTCTTGGTTCATGTCCAAAACATCATCCTGTTCAGAAGAATCCCTTTGACAGCAACCATACCAATCACACCTCAAATCCTGATCATCCACCAACTTATGGAAAATGCACTCAACAATGTACTCCTGCTACCTAGGGTGATCCAATGCAAGTGAGGGCAGGGCAATCTCTTACCATTTTGTAAAAGAGGGAATTTCAGCAGATGATCTAGCTAGACCTCCTTTTCCAAGCAAAGGGTTCACACCTTAGCAGCCCTTTCCTTGCATTCTCATTCCACCTCACCTCAGAAAATATGCTACAGTCTTCTGCCTTTTTTAAAACTTAAACTCTACTCCTTTTCCTTATGATTGGGGATTCACACACAGAACGCCAACTTCTTCCACAAGACCCTAAAGCCAGGTCTCATCCAGCAGACTTAAAAGACGACATCGGGAAATGATAACATGCTGCAACTGCTCTGGCTGATTTCTGAAGACCAGCTGCGTAAAGCCTGCGGTCATCTCCTCCTCCGCTGCCAACTCTACTCCCAGGGCCACCTGCCCGGTCGGCCCTAAAACTCAAGCTCGCCCCTTTCCCTCCGCCCCAGGGCCAGGCGTTCCTCTGTCCCCTCTCGCGACCCTGTTCCCCGCCCCTCACCAGCTCTTCCTGGCGGCCGGAGGTCTGCTCGGGTTGGGCTGAGCCACCCGGAACATGTACTCAGCGCCCGCCGTCGGCCGCTCCCTGAGGAGACAGGTGCCGCTTTGCAGAACTCGAGGAGGAGGAGGACGGTCCACCGGGCCGCGCTCGGGATGCCGCGCCTCTCACTTCCTCATGATGGTATCCCGGAAGCAGCTTCGGCGTTGGAAGGAAACCGGACTCGACCATGACTGCTTCTCTCGTAGGGACGTGAAACAGCAGGGAGGGAGCTGTTCTCCCACTGCCGCCGCTTGGCCTAACTTGTTACCCCCTTTCAGCCCGCGGAGCTGAATCCGCAGCCCTTCTCTCTCCTAGCGGAAGTCGTATCCTTCTCTCCCCTCTCCGCGACGAGGCTCAGGTGGTACGATCCAGTTGCCATGACGAAAACTTGTATACCATCCATGGGAGCCGGCTGGGTGGGGGGAAGATGGCCACTTTGGCCCGGCTGCAAGAGCGACTACCGAGCTTCAAGCAGGAGTATTTCAGTAGAAACAGGTAACTAGGGCCTCTTTCCCGAGGCCCTTTAATTATTCGCCAAGAAGCGATTCCCCTTCCCGCCCCAGAGATGACTCCAGGTTTGCGGGTGCTCCTTTCTTTCTAGCCAAGAAGTATCGGGAATTCCCACCCCGCAAAGTAGGGTGAGGTTCACACGTGTCGCCTGTGAATCAGTCGTCATGGTAACATAAATAAGAGTAATAGGGAACTCAGGTGGAACGAACAGGGAGGGCGTGTTTCTCAGGAGTGTTAGAACTGAAAGGGAACGGCGTTCATGTTGTATTGCCAGAAGGAAACACCACCATGAGGTATAGTGCTGTGGAAAACCGAAGCTTGCTAACGAGTAATGATGATATTCCTGTTTCTAAAAATGGAAGTCACCCCAAGAAGTAACCATTGTGGCTCCTTCATCCTCAATGGCTGTTAACTCCAAATTCATCTTGGCAACAGAGAGAAGGCACCTACTTCTGCTTTTGGCCCTCATCATTAGCATTAAAAACATCATCTTGGTTCTTTCCAAATGTGATGGGAAATTTAAATGACACCTTTAAATGTGATGGGAACTTTAAATGACAATAGAAAGCAGTTTGCCTAAACAGTTCTGTAAGGAATAAAGTTGACAACAGCTGAGGTTACATGATTTGTTTACCCATGGTTAATCGTGGGGTGGGGGGGAGGGTTGCACATCAGTCTCAACATAAGCTAACCCATCGACTAAGTTTGCAGAACATGTTGTTTAAAGTGTGATTGACTAGTTTGTAGTTGAGAAGTGTTAGGCTGCAATTTCCATTGGAACTGCATGACCAGGTTGGGGTGGATGAAAACTGTAACTCACTATACCTGAAAAGTATCTGGTTGGGAAGAACTGCTCTTGAAATATCCCTAATTCTCCAAATAGTTGCCTTTATGTATATAATTGTGTAATTTAAAAAAAAATAATATGGTAATTGGAATAAATGTGAATATTGTCATAATCACACATTAGATCTCCATAACAGAGTTAAGAGATGTAATTTTTCTTCTCTAAGCCACAAATGGTTTTGGGCAGTGTTATGAATATTGATTATGTGTCATCAAGTCATTCTCAGCTCTTAGCAACTACATAGATTTTCTCCATGGTAATCTGTCCCTAACCAGGTCTTTCAGTCTTCTAACTATGCCATAATCACCACTGTAACTGAGTCAATCCACCTTGCTGCTGGTCCTCCTCTTCTTCTCTTTCCTTCCACCTTTCCCAGCATTACAGCCTTCTCCAAAAAGCTAGGTCTTTGCATAATATACCCAAAGTAGGATAATTTGAGGCCCATCATTTGTGCCTTGAGTGAGACCTTGGGGTTGATTTGTTTCATGATCGGTTTGTTTTCTTGGCTGTCCACAGTATTCTCAGGGGTCTTCTCCAACACCAAAGTTCAAAAGGATGTACATTTTCCTATCTTGCTTCGTGAAAGTCCAACTTTCACTTCCATAGAGTATCACAGGGAATACCTTGGCTTGCATGATTCTGATTTTTGTAGGTATAGAGGCATCACAGCATTTGAATCTTTTCCAAGGCCTTCATAGCTGCTGTACCAAGTGCTAGACTGCTGCATATTTCTTGACTCCAGTACGAATATGCCCATGATTTTAAGAACTTTTTCAGAGGTCCTACTCAGTGGACTTCAGTAAGATCAGTAGGATTGTTTGGGACTAAATAGAAGGCCTTTAGTGGTTCCTAACATTTCAAATCCATCAGCCCCTGAGAGAGTTGTGACCAGCTCCATATGTAAATGCATTTTAAAACATACTTTTAAAACATACTTGCATCCTCTAACTTCTCTTAAATATTTGAAATATTTTTCAATAGGCCTATTTTTTTAAATATAGGCATATAAATATAAGGTCCTAGGCTTTGTGCTCTTCAGTGTTTTTATTAGACAGAATGTTTAGCAAATTCACAGAAACAGAATTGAGTGGGATAGTTTGACAATATTGCAATCATATGGATTAACAAAACAAAGACACATAGAGTATGAAAGGAGAAAAAAAGGAGATTGGCCCCTTCCTTAATTAAAAACAAAATCCCAATATACAAATGACATTCATAAAACCACCTGAACAAGAGGGAAACAATAACACAATGTTAAATTATTTTATCTCCTTTATTATTAATTGTCATGGTTGCCACTGCTTTTGCTCTAATCTTCCTTGCTGCAGCACCATCCAGTGCTGCTTTCTGAATTATATATACCAGTTAACTGATGTAACAGTGGATAAATAAATTTAATTCTTAATGCCAAGTATAATTTACAGATCAAAACATAATGCATTAAATCTTCTGCCCTCAGAACAGAGAAGATACACAAGGGCTTCACTACTGTTTCCCCCTTGTACCTCTTATCCAGATATGATGAAGGCATTTATTGAAAGTAAAAATCTGAAAAACATGGCTCAAGTAGATATCTTTCAAGGCCTGAAGATAAGCAGACATTCCACTACAGGTAGTCCTTGTTTAACGACCATTTGTTCAGCGACCATTGGAAGTTATGGCGGCACTGAATGAATGGTTAGTTGCACCCGGTCCCTGAAGTTATAGCCATTGCAGTGTCCCCCCGGTCATCATCAAAATCTGGGTGCTTGGCAGCCCACCTGCACTTACAACTGCAGGGGTGCTTCAACTCCCCCCACCTGCCTATCTCCCCCCCACCATCTCTGCCCTTTTGGCTGCCCTGCACTCCACTGCCTCTGCTGGCCCTGCCGCCCTGGGCTCTGCTGGCTCGGGACTGGGATGGACCAAGCTGGTAATGGCTTGGCTTGGCTTGGGGTGGGTCCTTGCCTAACGACTGGGTGGGATTTAGTTAACAATGGCAATGGGGAGTGCTGGGATTGTCATCGTTAAGCGATGCAGTCACCTGATGTCATACTTCACTACTGCATTGCTTAGCGATGGAAATTCCAGTCCCAATTACTGTTGTTAACCAAGGACTACCTGTACACAATTTAGTCATATGAAACACTTTAGAAAACCCTGTGTTATAAATTATGCACCGAACCTGGAGAGAACCCACCAGGAGATGCCACTCCCTCAGTTTATCCTTAAATCCTGAAATATGCTTATGTTCTTCAGGTGGGGGTAATGTGTGAAATATTATAAACAAAATTAAGCTTTGATACCCCCTTCTAGTTCTTCCTCCAGACATATGCTTGGCTAAATGGGAATCTGTATGTTCACCAGTCTTTTAAAATATACAAGGATCCCATTAGCCACATTAACAGTAATTAAAGGTAAGCCCATTTCCATCCTAAGCAAAGTTGCAGGGTTTCTTGGAAGGAGAATGGAGATTGACCTTATATTCTAGGGCATGGTTTTTCAAACTGTGTTCCAGGGTATCCCAGGATTTTACAAGAACTTGATGAGGTTTTATTTCTAATAAAATAAAATAAACACAACCAATTTTCTATCACTAAAACTTTGCCTATTGATCAGGGGTTCTTTAAAGTTTCTTTTTTAACTAATAGATTTTGTGGCCTGAAAAATGTTCAAAACCTCTTTCATAAAACATTTAAAAAAAAATTAAAAATGATCTTGGTGGGTTACAAAGTGGGCTGAAAATAACAGAATGATATATAGTAAAGATAAATATAATACTTCAAAAACAGAAGTCCAAAGATGGTGGATATCTTTCTTAGTAACAGTACTTATAAAAAGATTTTGGAATTACAAACCAAATGTAAGTGTGATGTGGCTGCCCCCCCAAAAGTTGATGCAATCTTAGAGTGCATCAACATAAATATAGTTTCCAAATCACAGGAAATCATTGTTCCAGTTTAGTTTGCATTATTTATTCCACCTCAAATACTGTGTCCAATTCTGGGGACCACAAGATTCAAACAACTGAAACAGGTACAAACAATAAGGATAATCAGAGGACTAGAACCTAAGTTCCTACTGAGTATTAATGGAATTGAGTATGTTGAGCCTTCAGAAAAGATGATGGAGATGGGGATATGATAGCACTTTTCAAGTACCTGAAGGAACAGCATTCATAAAAAGGTTAAGACCTATTTTCTGTCATGCCACAGTGCAGAACGTGGAAGGCAGATTCCTTCCTTATAGCATGAACAACCTAACAGTGGAACCAGTAATAAGGAAACTGGTGAGCTATTTTTCCCTGCATGTGGTTCTAGCAAAGGTTGGATGAACATTTATCAGCAGTGCTTTAATTTGGATTCTTTCCCTATGCATGGTTTGGACTTGATGGCTCCTTCTAATCCTATGGTTTTCTGAATTTATATTTTATTGTACAGTAATTGACATAGAATTACTTCAGTTTCAAATGCTTTTATAGTGAATATTGGGGGGAGGGGGTTATTGTAAGCTATCTTAAGATCATAGTCCTAAAAGTGGTTAAAATATATTAAATACATTTACTTGATTTAATAAAAACAATACTGTTTGATTATTGTTTGATTATTGTTCTGATCTTTAATGTAAATGACCACAGTGCAAATTGTGAAAGTTATTTCTTGTTCTTTTAGGTTTGTAGATGAATACAGAAGAACAGAATATTGTGCCGCTGTAAAAATCCAGAGTTGGTTTCGAGGGTGCAAAGTCCGAGCATACATCAGGTAATATAATTTGTGCCTGCATCATGAATGTGTTTACCTGAAA